GCGCGGGCTGCGCGGCTCGCAGGGGACACCTAGCGGCAAGGCCACCGCAGAGCCCCCCGCGGCGGCGGGCGCGCCGGGCACCCCACGAGGGGCACGTGGCGGGGACGCGGGGGCATTTCGGGCACGCGAGGGCCTGTCCCGGGAGCCAGGCGCCTCCCAGAGCATCCCCCTGGTCACCAGGTGACACCAGGTCCTTGTCACCAAAGCGAAGGGCAGACTCGTCCCCCGTGTCCCCAGATGGGCAGCAGCTGCCGCATGGGCGCAGGCAGCTCCCTGGCTTGCAGCCCCGACGCCGGGGTGATGGGCAGACACAGCGCTGACTCTGGGGTGATGGGAAGATGCAGCCCCAACGCTGGGGTGATGGGCAGGCGCAGCCCAATGCCAGGGTGATGGGTAGATGCAGCCCATGCCAGGGTGATGGGCAGACACTGCCCTGACGCTGGGGTGATGGGCAGGCGCAGCCCTGATGCCAAGATGATGGGCAGCCGCAGCCGCGCCTAGTCACTCCAGTCGGAACCCCCTTGGGAATGCCCTGGGCAGAGCAGCCGCTCGGGGAGAGGCAGCGGGGACACATGGCCGGGCTGGGGGTGGCAGCGGGGACACCCTGGCCCTGACCCTTGCCCCCCGCCGCTTGCTTTGCAGGGAGCTCACGTGCAATAGCAGGAGCAGCAGCAAAGCCGAGGGTGAGTCGCGGGCGAGCGGGACCCTCTCCGGGGGCAGCGGGGCTGGAACAGCGCGCGGAGGCTGTGGGCGCTTCGCAGCACTCCCAGCGCCGCCCGTGTGCCCTCACTGTCCCTCTCTGCCCCCTCCAGGTGCCGGTGCCACCTTTGCCGACCCCCATGTCAGCAACTGCTCAGCCCAGCGGCACGCGGGGGAGGAGGAGGTCAGGATGCGCGTGAAGCCCCCGGGCCCAGTGGTAACGACCAGCGTTGTGCGAGGCTCGCCCGACTACGTCCGAGAGCCCAAGTACTACCCGCCGGGGCGCCCGGCGCCGCGGCCCGCGGCCTGCCCGGCGGAGAAGGCCCTGTCCTGCAGCGTGCTGAGCTTCCCTGAGGGCTCGTGCCCCGCGCTCGGCCGCGAGCACCAGGCGGGCTCCCTGCTGCACGGCGACCCAGCCGACCGCTGCCAGAGCGTGCGCGGCGGCACCAAGGGCGAGGAGGGCCCGGTGGGCTGCGCCGGCGAGCCCCGGATCCTGGGGGGCAGCGCGGAGGAGAGCGCCGCCCGCCAGCGGGCACCCCAGCCCTTCCCCAGGGCGACGCTGGCCTCGGGCCGCTGCAACGTCGACGGCATCGTCGCGCTGCTCAGGAGCAAGTGCGGCAACGGGCGCATCAACCTGCACCCCGTGGTGCAGCTCATCGACATCATGAAGGACCTCAACCGCCTCTCCGAGGACCTCAAGAGCAGCGGGGTGCACCTGGACTGCGGCGCGCTGCGCGGCGGCGGCGCCGACGAGAGCCGCCTGCCGCCCGCCGACCGCGACCTCCAGTACAGCTTCTTCTCCTCGCCCTCCCTCGCCAACAGCATCCGCAGCCCCGAGGAGCGGGGCGTGCTCTGCAAGACGGAGGCGCCGCGGCACGC